TTAATTATCCTAACCCGATTGCCGCCTGGTTTTGCAGTTGTGCGTGTGTGTTTTCAATTTAGTAATTGCAGAGCGCACCTACGTCTGCGTGAATAGAAACAACAATATATCATTGAGATATCCGGAGACGAATACTTCTGTGACTGAGTGAAGGACATTAAAAATATATTTTTGTTTAGAAATACTATTTAACAAACGAAAAAAACACACCGCATTGTTGCACTGCAAAGTACTTACAATATGACTCATACATTTTATAAATGTCTTATGTGCACTAATTTAAATGTTTGTTAGATTCTATACGTCGTCGTTTATTAATTATAATCCAACACTTCTAAGAGCAAATCTCATCAAATATTTTTTTTAAATTTTTTTTTTTTGTATCTATTATTCCACTTAAATATATATTATTCAATATATATTCAACAATAAGGTGCTTACAAATTATTTTTCATAATATTCATAATAGGTACTTAAAATACAATATAATATAATATTTACTAAATAATAATTAATCACTAGTCGGTTCAATTAAATCTCAATAAATAATCTTGAAGTGGAGATTTATAAACTATACAATTTTTACAGATATTTGTATTGGATTATTTATTAATAAATACTCTTGTCTTATTTGCATTCAAACAATTATTTTATAGATATATAACAAAATAATATTAGATGGTTTAAATTATTTTTTTTTAATTCATATCGATCTTGTGGGTACCAAAAAATGAAGACATTGCTAAAATCTAAATAAAAAATAAGAACAATTAAACAAACTAATTCCTTGCGAATGAATTACTAAAAATTTTATAGTATATTATAATATTATAAATGTTATAATAATGTTATAAATGTTATAATAATTCGGACAGTTTTTATTTAATAATTTAATACAGATTTATCCATAAATCGACGATGATAATATTTTTGATTGTTTATTACGTGACCATGATTGTATAAACTAAACCAGCACTATTTTACATATTTCGCTATCGTGCTATTATGTTAGATATTATTTACATATATATATACAAAGAACAGACAATAAATAAAAAATATTATAGTTCGTAATTAAAATTGCGATGTATGACTTCATCCTATTGTTACAAGTATTACATGAAGACCGGAATACTTAATAATTTTTTTTTTTTTGTTTTTGTAATATTTAGCAGTTTAAAATAAACATGTTTTAAATAGAATTTTAGAGATTTTATATTAAAAAAATTGCTAAATAGTAACGTACACCTGGAATTCATTATTCCGAACAGACTCAGGTTCTCAAATATTTGAAAAGAATGTACATGTTTTTGAAACTTAAAATATTCGTTACATACAAGTTGAAAAAATATTGCTCAAAAATAATTACGGTAACAAAAAATTTAATTAAATTAATTGTAAGAATCACGTATAATAATATTACAAACTCGAACTATACAAAAACGTATATACTAGTCGATAACAAAAAAACAGTACATCACATGTTTTTGATGAAACATGTGTGTCAATCATAAATTTTAATAAAAGTTTTTGAAAGCAGTTTTTATTTTATTTTAGAAATGAAAAACTAACCAGGATGGTTATTATATGATTTGTCTGACTACGCGTCACACGATCATATAATTGATATGCATTATATAAATGGAATTCTAATATAGTGAGTGTAGGTTTATATTATATATAATAGTACCGTCGCACAGTTTTCGCCATATTTGACCCATGGCCAATGTTGATAACTTTGTATACAACTTTATATTATTAATGAGTCATTAATCACGAATAATTTCTGATGATCCTAAAACCGTGTATCTTAAGTTTGAACACAATTAATTCACATAACACTCTGTATGTGTACACAGCTAACACAGCCGATATTACAATATATTCCATCATATATATATATGTAGCGATTCAATGAATACATTTTAATTTCCAGCAGGTTAAGCCCGGCCAAGGGCGCATCAGTTAAACTATTGTCTAGCATCATTCAATGTTTTGAATGTGCAGTACATATTCGAAACCTTTTTTTGTAAACTAAAATTCCATTGGTAACCGAGCATCATCATATATCCGAATTTTGTACCTAATGCTCGGAAGGAGGGGTTTTTTTGCATATACTCGTAACACATCGAACATCCGTGAACAATTGACTGGAATACGATACGTACCACACACCGATGTAACTACTTAGTGTACTTCCAATGCATTTACCTATAAGCAGTTTACCGATAAAACTTATTTACATCGTTTACTCGAAGAGTACAACAAGCAACTGTTTTATTGAATTTTAAATGGCTCTTTGCCCGTGCTGCAGTGCATAAATATTTTGATGTGTGATGAGTGGCCGTTAGGTAAGTCTTAACGTACAATATAATAGAAAATCCGCATTAAAAATAGACAAAATAGTTTGAAATAGAGCATTCTGTATACATTTTCCCGAAAAAATATTATTTGTAGTTACTATTATGTATTATCTACATATTGGTTATTTTTAATCTGTGACGAATAAAACAAATTTTTACTATTCGTTATTTCCAATTGACGAATACATGCATTACGGTATTTGTATATATTACGGTCCATCGATAGTAATATGAGTCACATACTCAAATATACTCAAAGCGTTATATGGTTTAATACAATAATTAAAAGTATTTAACTATATGACACACGAATTAAAATGCTGTTGGCTTTTTGGTTATATTTATTTAAAACAGTATGTGTATTGTATGCGATTTAGTTCAACGTATAATATCAAATTGAGCATACTGTTAGTACATTTATACGTGTATTTCACATTAATATTTCGTATCGGGGACTGTTTAATCGTTTCATATTAGTTAGTATATAGTTACATTTAAATTATACCGTGTGCGCAATCTGTTCCATTATTTTATTTATTTTTAATTTTTTTAAATGTCAGAAAACGATCATTTTGATCCGATGGATTTGATTATCGCAGACATTCAATGCTATAAAGAGCAAAATAAAATTTATTTGGTTGACGATGAACATTTTATAAGGTACAATTATGTAGATGTTATGTTATGCTAACCCAAAAAAAAAAAAAATTATTTGGTAGTTGGAATCCAATTAAATTTGATTATTTATATCTACTAAACTTTAATTTACATGTACAAATAATAATGAAGAGGTAATATTGATTTAATACATTTTCGATTATTTTTTTCTTATCATCAATTACAATTGAAATTATGAAAATTAAAATTAAAATTATTAAAAATTTCACTTTATGATGAAATACATATTTGCAAATAATTATCAGGTATTTAAAAAAAAAATAACTACCTATTTATTATTATGTTTGTTTTGTAATAGTTAAGTACTAGTGAACAATGGAATCTAAATGCCCTTACTTCTGAAATATATTATTTTTCTAACATTATTAGCTGCCTATTTAATTTTGTAATGATAAGATTTTTAACAAGACTTCTTTATTAATTTCTACTCTAATGCAAATGAGTATATTAGTTTATAGTATACATATAAATAAGTTTTAAATTTAATTTTTATCTTATCATCAGTTAATTATTTATAAATTACTATTAACAAAAGAAGTTTTATATTTATTTTATCAAGCGGTTCCTTTGAGTCTTCAAAATTAATCAAATTAATATTTGACGGCTCCCAAATTATTTATGATAAAATAATAAATTATGTATGTAAATCAATTTAAATATTATATACAAAAAAAAATAAAAAATAAGTTAAATTGTCAAGAAAACATTTTAATTGAATGCTGTATGTTTTTATAATCGTTATCGTGTACATATTTATAGTTATATATTATACTATATTGTTTTCTGGTTCTTTGACACGGCTCCCTTCACCAATTGTCGTGACGCCCCAAGGAGTTACGGCACACAATTTAAATATTTTTTTATGTAACTATAAATTATAATTTAAATTTAAATACATCTCCTTAATGATAAAAGTTCAAAAAAAAAAAAAACACAATTGGATATGACTTTTAAAGTTTTTCCTTTAAATCTATAGTTGAAATCTATACATAAATATATGGAAAAGGAATTAATTTGATAAGATCAAATATTTTTACTAAATATTCCTGATTAGATGTTTATCGTTTTATGTTATTGCAAAAAACAGTCATTCTGATATTTTAATTTGAACTATCATAATCATTATCAAATTTAGGAAAAAAATATAGCACATTCTAACAGACGACACATGTTTAAAAACAATTAAATGATAAAGACATAGGTTATATGAGAAATACATAATTGCAGAGTTAGATGAAAAAATAAATACGAGTCCTTCCAATGAAGAATATTAAACAATAAGGTACTTGACAAATGACAATTTATTACGTGATTATACTTGAGGAATAGTGCAATTATATTGTATTTTTAAATCCTTATTAAATGTAAACATAGTTTTGTTACGAAATCTATTAAAAAGTATTATATTATAAAATCAAACTTAATTGTGTGTAATAATATGATCATGATTATACATTTTGTAGTAAATTAAAGTGTATTATTAGCTTAAGTTTAAATAATAAAACAACAAATATAGAAATATAATTTAAAGTGAAAATATTGAATTGGCTTTTTGTCAACTTAGGTATATCCAAACTCATTACGTGGTAAATTTGTGTTTTCTAGCATACACCTTTAAGTTTTAAGTAATCAATATCAATTTTTTCTATTATGCATCAATTTATACTGAATTTAAAATTTAATTTTCGTAATTTTTTGTTGGGTGCTTAGAAAGACTAAAAAGAGTAAATATCACTTTCATATTTCATTTATAAATTGTTATCAATATAAAGTATAATAAAAATAAAAAAAATAAGCTCTATTATAGTAGATGTAATTTTTTGTTTCTTGTGATTAAAATTGTTGTTTTTGTACAAATATAAAACACATACATAAATTCATATATTATTCAGTTCTATAAGGAAATTTTTATCTTGTAAAATTTTTAGTTAATTGTGTTTTGTTTTTTTTTTCATGTAGTGTCGAACAAATGGATGGTGGATTTTTTGAACGTTTTGGCTCTGGCCTAAAAGAAAATGTTGAAGAAAAGATTATTATTGCTGAAAAAGATAAATTTTCCACTCTAACCGAAAGAGAACTTTCTAAAGTTTACGAAGAGATAACTGAAAAGACTCAATTGTCGTACAAAGAGTTAATATCATCATTGTTAGAATTAAATGTAAGTATTATTTTTCTTAATTCTATTTTTAAAACAATAGTTTCTAATATCGATAAAAATAATAGAAAATATCATAAACACAATAAATCAATATTCAACTAAATATAAAATATATTGCATCTTAAATTATCTAGATATAATATATAATATACGGTTTAATTTTAATATACATATATAATTTAGCCCAACTATTAAATACATGTTAGTTATGTTATACAATTATTGTTATTTCATTCAAATTTAAATTTGAGAATTTAATTGTACAAACAAAAATTAAAAAAAAAAACGAAATAATTCAAAAGTTTGATTGACAATAAACTCAAATTAGTTAAAGCTATTTATTTAAAAACTAACTAAAATGAATTAATTAATTTAATTAGTATAATAAAAATAAATATAAATAATTGAAACATAATTCACCATGAAAAAAAATGTATAGGTACCTAGGTATATAATTTAATTAAATTGTTCATATTTTCATATTAAAGAAACATATTAGTTTTATTTTTAAAATCCTAATATTATAACAACATAGGTACTACATTAGTACTGAAATAACGGCCAGTACTTACATAATAATATATATTGTAATTCATGCATTGAATGCAATTATTTTTTATTTAACATTTAAAATCAATAAATAATAACAATTTTTAAGAGTGCAATAATTATACAGAATAGTTCTATTCTTCTGGGTTTAAACTACCAAGTTATTCTTATATTTAAAATGGTCGGATTATTTTAGTATATTATAGTAATTTTATAGTAGCATATGCATTGGATTTTGAAACTGCGAAGAATCTGAATAACTGTAAAAAAGTATTTTTTTTAACATCTACAATTACACTTATCTCTATATACAAAAAGACAATATGTATCATGTAATATATTATAATGTCTAAGGTTAGCAAGATTTGTGTCTCATACTATTAAAATATGAATCAATACAAAGTTATTTGAATATGTTAATTAGTATTAGCATCACAAAATTTAATGATTTCCATGTGTGATTTTTTTCGACAGAGAAATCGCATATTTTTGTTTAATGAACTCCGATTGGATATTAATTAAGCAGATGTGATTTAAGTCACATGGAATGTCGCGTTAAACACAAATAACAGTGTATTTGATTTTCCAACACATGTAAACAAAATAAAATTTAGAAAAATGTCATAGTATCAGAATATATGCACATATTATTAACATTGCAAGATGGATCATTAAATGAAGTATATTATCTATAGACGTTTCTTAGTTTTCAAAATGTTGTATTTAGCATGTCTATACATACCGTTAATGTTAAAATATATTTATTTACATTTATAATTTATGGAAATCTTGAAGAAAGCTTCATCCAGTTATTATAATTTTATCAATAATATGACAGTGAAATTACTATTTAACTTTGATATTATATTTAAAGTAGCAAATATTATGTAAAAAAAAAATAACATTAAAAACTCATGATACTTGCATATTTTCATATTTCTCGAGATTTAAAAGAATCAAACACAGAACTATCAAATCAATATCTATTTCGTATACACTCCTCGTATTGCTCCGTCGCTCAGATTCTTAAATGAATATTATAATTTGTTAAAAATTCTGTAGAACATATCTAGAACACTGCTTATCTATATAAGTAATTACATTTTTATTGATATTGAAAGTTGGTTTTTAATTTATTTCATATATATTTATTGGCATTGTAAATGCCCAGAAATTAAATACACCACAAAATAAATAAATAAACTATTTCATTTATCATAATTTTATATGTATTTATTAAATGTCATGTAAATAACTGATTATTATTGGTTATAATATGAATGTTATTATCTAATAATTTTTGTTTAAATGCTTACTAATTATAAAACATGAGCAAAAAGTAAATTATGAACAAAAAAAATTAGAGAATCACTATAAAATAAAACTATTTCATTTATCTAAATATTTTATTTGATTTTAACTATTATTTCTTACTTACACATTATAAAAATGATCTATTTCCGTCTTAAATTCTTGGTATATTTTAAAAAATAGGCTCTGATGTAATGAATTTTCATCTAACATGTACACATACCTCACACCCTAACTTTAAAAATAAATAATTAATATAGGATACTTTATCAAAATTTGAATAAACCATAAGTTAAAAAGTGATTCAACAGTAAATCGGTTTCTGCTTAGTTGTATAACAAAGTTATGTTATTGAACTGTCTTCATAAATATTCCGTATCTGATTTTATAATTAAATATTCACCAATATACGTTTATATTTATAATCATTTCCATCAATAATGCAGTTCGAATGCAATTTATTTGTATATGTTTTATCATTTCAACGTTTATTGAGATCTACAGTTGATAAAAAAAAAACTCAAAACATATAAACTATATGAGGGCGGAGTTTGGTTTAGGTCACTGTTTGGCACAATAGTAGATTACCACAGAAATAGCACATTTGGCTTGGACAGCACACGCGTACGATTTATCTTTAGAAGTGCTCAATTCATCTGAGTATTACACACAGTTTTTTAACTTTCGGATAACTTAAACGTTCAATAAATTTTTTTATAAAATGAAGTCTAACTTTAAAGCAAAACAATTTAATTTTCGTGGTATTAAAAAAGAAGAGATACAAAGAAGAAATGAAATTCAAATTCAGTCCATGACCGTCGGTATAATCAATATTAGATGATAAATATACTAAGGAGACGGCAAAAGATTGTAATGGTAAAAAATAATTTTCTATTGCAGATCAATGAGTTATACGAAGAGATATTGCATGAAACATTACATAGCGTTGGAATAGAAAAGAATTTAGTAAATCAGGAAAATTTAATTGAGTTTGCCCAGAATGCATTTAAAATCGACCAAGATACTCATGAAGCCATATATAAAGCCGCCATGGAAAAAGAAAGTAAGTGCATGCATGTTTAAAGTAAAAAATTAACATGTTTAATGATAAAAGTTGGTAATTATTATTTTACCGAAGAAGCCCCGAATATTATGTTAAACATCGAAATCATAGAGGCGAAAGATTTAAAACCAAAAGATGCCAACGGCTTTAGCGATCCGTTTTGTACCTTATTTTTGGCATCTAGCTCGCAACATAAATATAATACGTCGGTCAAAAGCCAAACACTACGACCCGTCTGGGAAGAATATTTTTCGCTGTAAGTATTTTTACAAACAAATAACAATCACATAATGCAGATCTATAAAAAATGAGCTTACTCACGATTGCATTTAGACCGGCCAACGCTCCTGCTGATGATATATTATGCGTTGAAGTGTGGGATTTCGACCCAGCGGAAACAGTTAAGGAAAAAGTTACTAGAGTCGGCGACATCAAAGGTTTTAAAGGAATGAAAAGGTTTATGAAAGAAATTGCGGTAACTGCTACGAACGGTAAACATGACAATGAAATTATCGGCAGTACACTAATACCCCTCAAAGTAATTACTATTAATATAATATATTTTTTAAATTTTTCTCGGTGTATTAACATATTATTTCGTTAACACAGACAATACCTTCACGAGGTCAGTTATCTTGGTACAATTTGGAAAAAAAGGGCAAAGGCAAACCGCAGGGGACTCTGCTATTAAAGTTGTCGTTTGGCAGTGAGAAAAATAAGCAAGTTGCCGCTCAAGAACATAGACATTTACTAAGAGTATTATTAGCCCATCAAATAAACGAGCAAAAGGTAATTTAAATTATGTGTGTCGAAAATAACCGAGTTTATCGATCATTTGATTTTAGCCTGATATTAATTCGTGGATGGGAGACTTTTTACCAGAGTCGAGTTTAATTATTCAACAACATGTAGCACAGAGTAACATAGGTCTCGTTGACGAATACTTAGGCAGGTGGATAGAGTTTATCAATGCTCAAGGAACAAGTCCTGTAATAAATACCAAAGTATTTTCGGACATATTGGAGAATTTGGTGAAACCCATATCTACCGGTCAGTTATCCAACGAAGAGGTAAATTTTGATCTATTGATTAGAGTTTCGATATTTTAATTCGTACCTGAAATAGTACGAATGAATCTACGAAAAAATCTATACTAAATATTTTATGTATATTGTTCAGTTGAAAATGTTCTGGCAATCGGCTAAAAAAGCTCTGCCTTTCTGTTACAATATTATCAGAACAATACGAAAGAAATCTCCAGAAGACCAACAGTTACTCGACCAAATAGAATATACTTTAAAGTAATTCGTAAAATATTTTACATCATACCAGGAAAATTTTATATTAAATGTTATTTTTAGTATACTAAGACATCTGAAATCGTTCGAGATGCCAGATAATTTAGATCTTTTCCCATCGGAAATTTATGGTTGGCTGTTGCCGTGTGAACACACCAGAGACATACAGAGTACATTGCACGACGCTGTGATTCAAGGCGCGGTAGATTGGTAAGCATTCATTTTAACGAATTTTCTGTCCAGAACTGTTTTAACGAAAACAATTTATTCGACACGTTATCAGGTATGTACACGTATTAGAAAACAACGCACCTGATGATTTTACAGAAGAAGGTCAAATGAAACTCCAACTTAAAATCACCCAACATCTGAAACAAGATTTGCAAAGGGCTATAGAATATCACAATAAACTGTTTATCAAGTAAGACGCGTCGTCGGTCCACTCGAAAGCACTTCGACAATAGACATTTATATTATATATCCGCATGTATACTCAAAAAATCAATAATACATTTTTAGAAAAATGCAATTTCCGTATGCCAATACATTGTTTTCAATATACGAGTCTAAGATCATTGAAATGTGTGAACCCTTCATCACCCGTATCTGTATGAACATGAAGCCAATCAATTTCGAAGATAACGTGCGATCCGAAGTCGACAACGATCCGCTCGCGATGGGAACGTCACTTTTCGAATTGTACATGGGGATTCAAAAATTTGCCGAGTAATTTTTTTCGTTTTTAATTTTTATTCGCACTATCGTCTTTCATATTACTACCTAATTCGATGTTAACTTTTATGTATTTTTTGATGTTACAGACTTGGAAAAACTGATTGTGACGTAGATCTAGAAACAAGTCATTTGGCCAAGTATCACTTGTGGTTCCAACAGGGCGTCGCCAGGTGGTTGGATATTGCCGCGTATAAAGCAATGCAACGCATTGAAAGAGCGGTAGATTTGGACAAGTTAACCAAAGTGGACTCGTCGGTCGAGTACAGTTCTTCAGCTGTTGACACGTTGGCTATATTCTATCAAATCAAAGTGTTCTGGCATCAACTTGCGTGGCCCGACGCCGAAGGGTCGTATTCGTTTGTGGCGAAGATAATCGACGACATATGTAGGTGTTCGGTTTACTATTCGGACAAGATGAGTTATAAGCTTAACCGTACTGTAAACGAGTATCAACGGTTTGAAGTCACTAAGGAGGTATGTCCCGGGCTTTCAATCATATTGGATACAAAAAAAAATATATTGACATTAACGTCGTGTGTTTTCCAGTGGTGCTTGGCCGTGAACAATATCGATTACGTAAAACAATCCATTCGTCCGTTTGTTAACGATTTAGGTTTAACGCAGTTGATGGAAAATCTGGCGAACTACAAAAGCGAAATTTCAGCGGATCATTGCAAAAAAACACTAGATTTAGTCGTGGACAATTCAATTGACACTGTAAACAACAAAATCATAGATCTTTTACAGACCGTCGCTAACAAAGTAATTACAGGCATCTTGATGGAAAAAATTAGAAAATCTCTAATTTTTAATGATTCAAATTTAATTTAATTATGGTTTTATGAAAATGTATTTTTCAAGATGTCACCAGAAATGAGCAAATTTTTAATAGAAGGTGCAGAAGTTAATACAAACAATAAGCATTTGGATAATTTAATGTTATATTTGGACGAAAGCCTTTGTACATTAAGTAATGAATTAAACGAAGAGAATTTTCAGCGTATACTTGATATCATAGTCGATCAAATCGCGAATATAATGTATCACCTTATCCAGTGTAATTTGGAGGTAAGTGATTTCAAATTCAAGTAATGGCCGTATCGCTAAAATAATTTTAATAATGACGAATAATTTATTCACTGGACAGAAAAAGAAGCCTCCGTCATACTTTAGAAATTTGAGAGACAGTTTTCATATATTACTTGGGTTTCTACAAAAGGACAATGGGTATAAAAGTGAAACAATTCAAAAGCTAGAAGCATTATTACTTTTACATACGTTGGATACAGTAGACCTAATACATGAATACTATTTGGAAAGACATCGGAAACAAAATGAATTACAAGAAGCTAATGAAGGCGTGTTAACTGTCAAATTGGTATTTATCAACGATGTTCTTAAAGTTGACATATTAAACGCAAATAACATTAAACCAATGGACTCTAATGGTATCTATTTAAACGATGAATAATTTATTATATTCATGTTTTTATACTGTAACATTGTTTTTAGGTTTTAGTGATCCGTTTGTTAAAGTACGATTGTTACCCAAAGAAAAATTTCAGCATGTCAGTAAACCATCAACAGCTGTACAGAAAAAAACATTGTACCCTTTATTTGACGAATGTTTCAAAATGTTAATATTTTACTATAATTTATTGCAACGAATTCGGTAGGTTCAACAATTAATGTTTATCATTGCTTTGATTATAGTTCATTGACTCCAGAACAACGTGCTCAAGAAAATGGTTTAGTAATGTTTATACTGAAAGATCAAGATTTCATGGGAATGACAAACGAATTTATATCTGAAGCATTTGTACATTTTAAAGATATTCCATCAACACCATTGGAAAATGATTTGGGTAGTGTACCACAAATAAAATTATTTCTGACGTCTCCTAAATCTATGGGTAATTATTTCAATTCAGTATCAACATAAATATTTGACTAATTTGATTATTTATTTATTGTTAGATTCAAAAGTTCTCCAAGCCCTCGACACTAGATTAGCAGACAAAGTGGCAAAAGATTTTCTTAAGCGAGAAAAGATAAAAGTTAATATATCTAATTCAACACCAAAAAAATGACTACAATCCCTTACTGGACGAATTAAACGCAATACGTCCACATTAACAAGAAAGTTGAAAAATTCATGTTGAAATTAATGTAATATATCTATAAATTTTAAAATTTTAATTTTAATGTAAGAAATTTAAAAGTAAGACTGAAATGGGGATGACATTTTTTTACTAACCTATTTTAAATTTAAATTCAGTGTACGGCTGTGCTACAATGTGAAACAAAATTTTGTGAACGTTTTGCGTTTTTGTAAGATTTTTAAAGTATATTCAAATATGTATTAAATTGTGTAATATTTGACGTGTTCTGTAAATAATTTTATACTATATTACTTTAGTGTTTAATGTGTTGATATAAATATTTTATATATATAGAGTATTATTATATAGAATTACAATAAATATGGTGACGATCAACTTAATAAGTATAATCATTTTATATCAATAAATTTGACTAGAATTAAATTTTTGTTATAAAAATTATGTTTTATTTTTCAATATAAAATTACAGTCCATTGGTTAATAAATTAACTAACTTAACTTACTCATACTTGAATACATTATCTAAGGTTTAATACAAATTCTGATCAGCAGTACCCTGATTAAAATACAATAGTCATTTCATTTTCAGTTAAGTTAACAGCCTTTAAAAATTAATATAAAAAAAAACAAATTTATTTGTTTAGAGGAGATTTTTGGTCAATCAATATATTTATAATTAGTTACTATTTTAAAAATGAGTTATATATTAACTGTGACATTTAAACTTATAATTTAAATAAGTTAAATTAAACTATTTATAATTATTGTTTTTGTATACCTAGAAATTATGTTTTTATCTTTATAACTTTTTAGTTTGAAGAAATTCACTAGTTCATCTCTATTTTTGAATGTAAAATTATTTAGAATATTTTTATTATTTTAATTATATAACATTTAAGATTAAAAATCAATAAATTAAAGTATAATAGATTATGTATAAAAAAAGTTTAAATATTAGTTAAAAAAAACGTTTAAATTTAAAATTACAATATAAAAACTATAAAATGAACTTATATAACTAATATAAAAAAGTTAATATCACTATCAAAAAAAAAAAAAAAAATTATTAATAATAAATATACATTTATTTATTAAACAACTAATAGTGACTTAGGTATAATAATTATTATTTAATCAATAAATAAGATAATTACTAGACATTGTACCAATACAGTAAAATAGTGCATACATTAACTGGTTATCAAAGTTTTATATAAAAATTAAATTATAATTATTTACAATTTTCAACTAAATCAATTTAAACCTCTCATTGTTTTAGTTCTATATAAAAGTATTAAAAGAAATTGTTATAATTTTGTTTAGACTTTAATACTATATTTACAGTAAGTTTTGATAATGAATTGGAATTATATACAAAATATCTATTTAAATTATGAAGCTTCAGTGGTTGAAAAAATAAAATATAAGGAGTGAGACTATGTAACTGTTGAGTGGGAAAATATGGTACATTAGAGGAAATGTTAGAGCTAAAAAGAAATATTAGTTTATATTGACTGCAGTTTCAGGAATGTACAAAGAAAATAACTGTGGATAATGAATTAAAATAATAATTTAATATCATTACCATTATATTTCAAGATAATTTGGTATACTTGATACTTGATATATTAACAATTTATTTTCAATGATTATTTAATTAGAATTAGATGAAATAACAATTGGTAAATATTTATCTTAAGTATTCTTTGATCCAATTTCTTAAAAGAACATTTACTTAAATCATAGGTATACAAAAATTAATAATAATTAGAATAAGTAAATGTATTTTCCTAAGTATTTGAGTATAAACTTAATAATATAAATACAAAAGTTGAATATGTTGTATATAATATAATGAATAATTCACAGTAGTAAAAATTATTATAAAATTAATTTAAAGCACGTATCAGTAACAATGCAGAAGATAATTGTTTTAATTAGCATTGATATATTACATTTATCACGTTTTTTAACATAATAATATTTATAAAATGTATAAAGCTTATTATTTTAATTTTTTTTTTCGATTTTATATTACTTCAGTATTTACATAGATAAATTTTTATAATTTAAAACTAGATTTATTTTTTTTTAAAATATTTATTTTCAATTTTAAGATAACAAAACTGATAGTTTTTTTAAAACCTACCAAATAAATAAATGTTGATTTTAATGGAATTATTCATTAAATATTACATATAATTTATCCATATATTTATATAAAAAAATATATATATATATATATTACTTTGTTCATAGTTCATCCTTGGTTAATTGATTGGATTTTTGGTAAACAGGGAATGCCCAAAATTGACTAGGAAGATCATTTGTATCTCTTTCACGCTTAACAAAAGCACTGAATGAAGATATACAATTGCCAATAAAATAATCAGCTTTACCCAATATTGCAAGATCAATATGTGGACTATCTTTATCATATTTTAAAATCTTTAAATTAAAACTTGTTAATGCTTGTGATAATTCAGGAATGAGATGATTATTGTCAGAGGCTACAAAAACTGTGCTTATGTCTTCACTATGTTTTCGAATCAGTCTTTTTAATTGTTTCACAATGGTTTCAAATGTTGGAAAACATAATTCTTCAGTCGCTTTTCCATACTCATTTCGGTAACCTAAGCACTGTGGAGCAGAAAACAGTAATGAATTCTGTGATATATGTTCACAAGCTCGTATCCAATCAATACCATTACGTAAGTGAATCCCAATAAACTTGCCTGGTTTGATTTGATTAATGATAAACGAATTTGCCATGTTTTGTACATTATCACTCCACTTCAAGTATCTGTGATTGATCACATTTTCTTTTTGTATTGGGAAACTTGCTGGTGTTCCTACAAATGCTAACACTGGCCATTTAGATGGTGGGTACTTTGCATGCCATTTTGATATCATATTATGATGATAAACATCATAATTCAAAGGAGCGTAAAATTCAGAAAAAGAAAAGTCAATACCATAGGTATCCCAAAATGATTCAAATGGGTTTCCCAATTTAGCATTACATCCTCCTAGTCCTCCTACATCACCTCTAGGCATATAACAAAATGATGTACGATTTTCTGGAGGCCACAGATCATCAGAATACTCAGTCATAAAGTCGTTCATCAGTTGCACTTTGTGATATTCTAAAAGTGGATCCACTTTGAAGTATGCGTCAAACGGCACCTGAACAGATTTTGGCTGTCCATAGCGATACTCAATCCAATGAGGTAACAGTAGTGTGCGATTCAATGCTTTGGCAAATCCAATGGCACCTAGAAAATGATCTGCTTGGTTGCCAAAGCGACCCATACATGGACAATAAGCGATGTAACCAGAAGGATCTTGGGCAAGGGCTGAACACAAGAAAACCATAACAAAAAATAGGAACAAATTATTCATAATTCAATTGATTACACTAAAATTTCCGTTAACACTCTTCAACACACGCGTACAGAGTTCTTGACATTAATATTTTAAATAATAAACTTAATGTGAACGTAAAACGAACATTGTCTATCCTTTGAGTATTGACAAAATTCTAAAATAATCAAAAAGTCGGTAAGAGTTTTCGAAAGATTATTTCATGTTTAGCCTTGATAACACGGAGATAATATCTTAGCCGCTAAACAGTGAGAACGAGTAATATTTTTATAGTTATTTCTCGTGTTGGTCACGCTGATAAGTTCATTGGCTCGGATGAAGTTAAGAAGTTAGCACAGAATAATATGATAAAACTCTTTCAGACCGTTCAGTGTTCACTGTTTAGACAAATAATATTGGGCAATTAAAATAATGAATCTAAAAACTGCCAAATTATTAACGCAAATTTTTTTTTGTCATAGCTAATTATTTTTTCTTGGTATTAGTTTGTAATTTATTAGTAATTGCGTAGTACTAGGACGTTTTCAACAATATGTCTTCAAAGGCGGAAAAAGACAAACAAAAACAGATATTAGACAGATGTCAGACGTTGTTGAATCAAATGCTAAAAGATGATGACAATAAATATTGTGTCGACTGTGACTCAAAAGGTAAATATTACAGAATCTGTCTCATATAGGAGTATTGTTATTTAACTTGTTATGCTGTAGTGGTCTTTTTATGAATGATTTATGACCAAGTTAATGAGACAAGATCATTATTTATAAGTTAGAATCCAATTGAGAGTTGAGATTAATAATTCTGACCTAAACACTATGTAATTAATCAGGATGTTTGAATATCTGATAAATTAATGTTCTTATTATTTCTTATAGGTCCTAGATGGGCTTCTTGGAATTTAGGCATATTTCTCTGTATAAGATGTGCTGGTATTCATCGTAATCTTGGTGTGCACATTAGCAAAGTGAAGTCAGTAAATTTGGATTCTTGGACTCCTGAACAAGTAGTAGTATGTAAACATTTTTTATAGCCTATACATGAATATTTTTTATCATCATACATTTACTATTTACTATATATTATAGTAGATAACTTTGGTTTTTACAAATTTATTAATTAATTAAAACTGTATTTAAATGTACAGAGAAAACTACTTAAATGTTAATTTTAATTTTCAAATAATCCTAAAATTACAGAATTTGCAACAGATGGGAAATAGTCGAGCTAGAGCTGTTTATGAAGCAAACCTACCAGATAACTTTAGACGTCCGCAGACTGATTCTGCATTAGAGGCATTTATTCGTTCCAAATATGAACATAAAAAGTACATTGCTAAAGAATGGGTACAACCTCCATTACCTAAAGTAAATACCAATAATATTTATTTATTTGCTGTAGATATTTAACTATTAATAGCTTCTACACAGTTTTAAAATAATTAACTAAAATATAAAATAGTTTTCTTTTGAACACCATTATTCTACAATTAGTAGTTAATGATTGAAATTAATTAAGTAATTAAAATACATTTTTATTTTGATAATGCACGATTGTCTTTAATTTTATATATTACTTGCTTTTGATAATTTTATAATAATAATTATATATTGTCTGGTATAATCAGCATTTATTCAAGTATTTTAACTTTTTGTTTACTAAAATGACCCAATGTTACATTTACTTTATTAAAAAATGTTTTTAAATAATTAAAAAAAGTATTAAGTTTTTAGTTAACAAATTGTAACTAATAATTTTGTTTTAAATAATTTTTATTTCATTATGTGATAAGTTTACAATTACTATTTAAACTAAAATTCTTACTGGTATAAATAGTTTCAAAAAATATGATATTAAAATTTCTTTATACAATGTTTTTAGGTTAATTGGGATAAAGATTTAGAAGAAGAAGCTGAAAAACAAAAGAAAAAGAAACGTGAGGCAAAACCTGGATCAATAATGCGTAATGTTCCTTCTATTGTGCCTAATCCTTTACCTAAACCTATTTCTTTAAGCCCAAAATTATCATCAAACAAGAAACCAATTTCTATTGATTCAAATCATTCCACTGATCTTCTTGGTTTAGGTAAACAATTATTTTTATTCTAAAACTATTTATAATAATTTAATTATTTATAAATTGTTTCAATTTAGACACTCCTACAAAAGATTCAAATCCAACTTTAATAGATACATCTTTCACATCTTCGGGTTCAGATTCTAATGATCCATTTAGTAGTTTTCTAAGTGCATCTGTTTTATCTACAACAACAGTTTCTCCTCAAGTTCAACCCACTATTGATCCAATGATTGGTCGTTCTACTGAAGAGGAAAATTTTTTCAATCAACCAACAACTGCTACAAAAAATAAACTTACAACGGATTCTATTTTGGCTCTGTATGGAAAAACATCATCCCCAAATAACATGACTATTACTAGTCAATTCAAAAGTAATTAATTTGCAATTTTTTTTTTTTCAAATATTATAATTGTTATTTATTTGCCTTAATCTAGGTCAAAATAACAGTTTTGCTCCTCAACCGCAACAACCATTTTTTAATGCTATCAATAATAATGGATTTTCAACTATGCAACCTATTAATAACATTGTACTTATATTATTCATTATGTAAAATTCATTTTTATTAATTAATTAATTTTATTATTTAGGGGAATTCTGTTAATTTGCTTTCAAATAGTTCTATTGATTTTAACAACTTTCAATCAACAGCAAACTCTAATTTTGCATCAAATCCATTTTACAGCATGGCTGCAAAGAATGCTCCATCTCAAATTTTGAATCGGGTATGAATTTTTTTATCATATCTATTAAATTCTTAAATTTTAAACAAAATTTAGTTAAGGTATTTAAATAGATTAGTACATCATTCAACTAAGCCTATAATTATCTTTTTAACCATTTTAACTAAAGTAGTTTTTAATAAATATTTACTTTATTTAGCTTAATTAAAGTTCTTACATGATTTTTTTCTTATAGTTGTTTTTAATAAATTGACTAACACAGTTATCACTTTATTTAATTATTAGCATTTTATGATATTTTTAATAAAAACTTTTATAAAAAGATCTAAAATAATCATGGTTATTTATCATACTATATTTTATTTAACTGTGGATTCAAACTTTTTTTATTTTATTTTAACACAATTTATATACAAAAGTAATTAAAATAAGTATTAATCTGATATTTTTTTCTTTTACATGCATATATTTTATTTATAAATATTTTTGTATTTTATGTACTTAATTGCATTTCCATTTTTATGATTTTAAGTTAACCGAGATTAGTTAAATAATTTAGACATATTACAATGTTTTCAAATAAAACTGCATTTTGGTGGTTCTATTTAACCAACTAAATTAGTCAATAATTTAAGAAAATTAAAATTAGCTAAATAATTTTTAGTTTTGTTAGTTTATACCATTGCAGAATAATTACTAATTTTAATTAATGTTAATGCTTTGTATTAAATATTCATTAAATATCTAAAACTGTTTTTAATTAATATTAAAAGTGTTTAAAATATCATACAATTCATTATTTTAAAAGTAAACAATTTAATAATTGTTCTAGATTATGCATGCTTATTAACCATACTTATTGTAGTTTGCACCTATTTAAATTTTGTTCATAAATAGTAAATACACATTTTAGGAGACCCCTGTAGTGCAAAATAACCAGTTTTCAGCATTTGATTCTCCTAACGATTTAGTTCAAGTGAGTATATTAATTAGTATTTTAATAACTGTAATTAAACAATTTAATATTTTTAATATATTTGTGTTTTTTGGTAGTTGCCTCATCAGATGACTATGCTAAATTTAGGGCGTCCAACTACAGCTCCAGCTAGTGCCAATGGTTTTACAGACCTATCCAAACCATCACAAAATGGCCAAACGTTATCCCCTAATTTGTGGCAATAACTAGAGATATTTGATTGTTTATGATCATACATTAGTCAAACCGTTCTAATTTATTGTAAGTGAAATTGAAACATCATATAATTGGAAAAAAATTATGTACATATTACACATATTTAATTGATATGCTTTACTATACTATATATACTTATGGAACCGTCCAATAAATGGAGCTCTGTATGTAAATTAACATATTGAAATACAACTTAAAATGCTCTAGTTCCCTATTCAAAATGTATTATTTTATAATTATATATTAATTATTATTTGGTTATCATAATTATTGGTTTATAGAATAATAAAATCGTATTTCCATGAATCGCACTACAATAGTACGCATTACACTTTAAAATTACTTTCTTTGTTACATAATTATTTATCAGTAATTAATTATGTATATCGCATCCTCAATATTCAAGAAAGTTAAATGTATTAAAATATATAATATGAACACTAAAGGTTTTATACATTTGTATTTAACAATTTATTAAATTTAAAGTCATGTACCAGAATTATATTTAATGTATAAATTGTGGAGTAAACAATATGTTTTTTAGCATACGGGCACTAGTGGATTTATTGAAATCATTTATACTTTTTATCTATCAGTTATAGTTAAAATATTATTTTATTAGTCATAATTGATATTGAATTTTTGTGCAATTGTATAAAATTTATAATTATAATTAGATTTGTAACTTATTACATTTGTGTTAATTACTATTTTCTCATGAAAATGTAATTTTATTAGAAATATGCTCAAAAATAAATATTTGGACCTAAAGTTGAATCCTGTTGTAATTCACTTGCCTAACATAGTCTTATATTATAATATTAAAAATAAGCGATGATAATGCTTACTATACTACCTAAAACTTGCCATTGATTATTTCAGGAAGAATAAGCCCCTCCCCTTCAGTTAAAAATAATTACTTATCTAAATAAGTTTTTTTGAAAATGTACAATACTCCTTTCAGATAGAAGATTTGAAATAGACACTGGACTTTTTTTAATTATCTCGTATGCCTTTTAACAGCTTTTGTATAGAGAATATGGTGCTGTGGGGGCTCTGATCTAAGGTGAGACATACCAGTATTACCAGAATTATCTTAAGGTAATAATCTTGATACTATTGTAAGCGGATAAGTATCTATTAACTTCTGAGTATGAAAACTTAAAACCTCTTTTTACACAATTTATATTTTATATTATTGTTCTGAAGTATTACCTGTAGTTTGATGAAATATTTCTTATTACATACAATAATATCTTTAAATATTTGACAAATATCTGGTACACATTCATCATATGATAAATCAACATCAACTTTTTGTAATACAACAAATAATAATAAAGTTAAAGGAAAAACTTCTCGAGCACCTGAAAATTTATAATTAAAACAGAATTGTCAGTAATTAATTTTAAATCTGAAACTTTTGAAACAAAATTATTCATTAAATATACGAGTATCAAGAAGATAAGAAAAGAAAAGATTATACAATTTCTACTTTTAATTTTATTTAAATTTTCCATTTAGCTTTTTGATAAATTCTAAAATAATATTGTATAATATGCTCGATAAAATAGAAATATGCATAAATATGCCAAATATACAAAAACATGCAAAATAAGATTTCACATATTTAACCGAGGTACCTTAAATTGGATTTCTATGTCATCTAGCATTAAATACAACTTTGCAAGATTGATATGCAAATGCATGAACTTATGAGCCCTGGTTATGATACTCAAAAACTTTTTTCGGCCGAAGTTGAACGACTTTTTTGATAAGTACCTATGGACAACAAAATATATGGTTTCAATAAAATGGTGCAACTCATCGGCCATTCAGCATTTTGCGACAAATTTTTTCTCGCCATATTTTTTCTACACGTGGTGAAATTGGGTGGCCTCAATATGGGATTTGGCACCACTGCCAGTATATAACACAATTTCTAATAAAATTATCAACATTTTAAGTGACGAACTATTTTTTGTGGGAGGTTAAACCCGTTAGCACCCCCCCCCCTTTTGGTGCATCCATGGCCATTAGTATGTACTTATATATATAATCAATGCGCGGACATTGTAGATGCACTAAAGTGCACATGGTCACTGCGTATTACTACTAAATTATGTTGGTGTAAAAACAGCTACAGCAGCATCGTTACACTATATTTATGGCCTATAATCAAGCTACCTATGACACAAAAAGACATTGTCAACTCAGTTTTTTATCACATGTATATTGTAAATACACTGCTATTTTATAATATACACGTGATCAAATCATTCAAAAAAGTTCAATGTGGAGAAAGAGTTTAAAATTTTATATGTTATGTTAGTTTATGCAATCAATATTATAATATCAAAATAAGAATAAAAAATTATTAGAAACTCTTTTTCGAAGTAAAGACATTTTATTATGTCATAACGCGATATTCAGTTACTACCATTCAATAAGTTAATAATTCTGTGGGGTACAGAAAAAAACTTTTCCAAAACGTATTGCTCATCGATCTCGACATTTCAAATGAACGAGGCTAAACCGTTCAGCCGATCTTTAGACATTATCGATCTGAGGTAAGTTTTGAGATATCATGAAGTTGAAAAGGAGCATTCATAGGAAAAACTGCTAAAAACACGAAACATTTGGAAGCGCATCTTCATTGCAAGTGTCGAGTGCTTCAAGTGCATTTTTGGCACTTTCCCCAGAAATACGTTTCCGCCAAAAATGAACTTCATCTATCCAGATGTCACGAAAATCGTCGTGCAAAATTGAAAAGTTTGATTCGAAAAGTTGAGAGCAGGAATCTTTATCGACATTTTTCAATTATTTAAATATACCATATGAATACTTATTTTATCTTAAGTATCAGTATTCATGGCTTTCATGATACTGAATAATTTTTCCCAGGTGACGTTGACAAAGACTTTTTAGAGGTCGATGAACACTATATACATTACCTAAATCTATACATCTTTACCATAATGATCCTTAGACACAATGTTGCCTCCCTGGTTCCTTTAGTTCCTTCTAAAACCGAATTAATCTTCCACTAACTTATCTTTTATTTTTGCATTTATTATGTTATACATTATTTTTGTTTATATTTTTAATGCATGCGTTATTATGCTTATGGTACTATGATCTTCAGATTTGCAATTGATATCATTAAGCACTTTTCGAAGTCTTTGGGAGTCAACTCTTTTTCATAGGTTTCATATATTATTTAAAATACTGTATATTTTCTTTGTTATTTCATTGCTTTTAATATTTCCCCGCTTATGTTGTCTATGCGTGTAACTTTATTATGTTTCAGCTTTTTTAGTGTTATCTCAAATTCCTCCTTCGAAATGGGTTGTCCTGTATTCTCCTGTCTTACATCTTCTACTATGTTCCATTGTCCCGCATGTCTATTGTCATTTCTATTTAGCTTTTCTTTATATTGTTTCCATAATTCTAACTTGTTTTTCCTTTCCATAATTACTTTACTGTCTGTTTCTCTGAGTATAGTGGTTTTACCTTTGTATTCACTAATACATTGTTTAATATTCCTGTAGGCTTTGTCATTTAGACCTTTTACTAGACAAGAATCAATATCCTTTGATATATTGTTTAGCCACTCCTCTTTGGCTTTCTTTACCTCTCTGTTCACCAGATTTTTATACTTTCTATATTCTAATTTTTCCTCTTCTTTATTTGCATTTTTGTATATTCTTCGTTTTCAAATGAAATCTATAATTTTGTTGTTTATCTCTGTTCTTTTAGGTATTTCTTTAATATAATTGAGATGCTTTTCTGCTGCTTTTGTCATCGTTTCTGAAAAGCGTTCCAAAATCGAAAAATCCAACTTTTTGATAACTTTAATAAATATTTATTTTTTTTTTGTTACCTATGTATTTATTACGTTCGCGATATTAACGATGTCAATACGCGAACCAATACATACAATTACTAAAATAGTCATCGCACACCGTCGTTGTGCAGATTATATAATAATGTATATTCAATGTAATCTGCGGCCATAGTGGACGCGCGACCGTAAAACAATAAATCGTGTGCGTTGTCAAACTGTCGAACGAGCGTCAACGCGTGTACACGGGCTTTTTACCCTCCCCCCAACAGAATTCATGTTTATTTCTCGGGTGCCGATCAGCGTGAAGTATGAAAAATAATCATCTTACAACATTGTAACTATAATTTGTAGGTAACGTTTCGAGAGCGAAAGAAAAAACTCTCTTTCCCCGGTACAATTGTGTATGTTAAGGCTCGTGTGCCGGTTTCCGTGCATAACTATAAAACACAATACCAAATCATAGACAATTTAATATTATTATTTAATGTATTTATGTACTATTTTGTTACCCTTGAAATATTATTGGTTAATGCGTTTTTTTTATCGATTACCATTATAGCGGACCAGAGTATTTTAATGTCATAACAAATGGTCCAACTGCTGTACTTACTTTAAATCAAAACTTTTCATATCAATTTATCAATAATTTGATTAATAACAACCTACACAGGTACACAAGCTAAACAGCACACACTTTCTTGTCATGCGCCATCGCACTTAATAGTGATTTTCTGAAAATTATCACTTCCGTTTATTAATATAATGTGCATTGTGTATTAAACTTTTTGTATTCTGTGCCTTTTGTAAAAATGTGAACCTTGGACAATAGGTTCACTCGTATTATCCAAGCAACAAGTACCAAACCTCATCACTATGTCCAACTACCTAAGCAGTAGCTTTACTAGAAAATCTAAGTAAGTAGATTCGCTTAAATACGACGGTTGAATTCATAAGTACATTAAATAATAATATTTTGCGCGGTTTCCGCTACTCCAATCAACACTGATACTGTCCAATGACCTTTAATTGGTGCGCAATTTTAGATTATTTTAGAAAGATGCAAATTGACCCTTCATAAGACTGAAATTTATCCTTTTCCTAATATGTTCCTTTTAAATATAAAAATAATCAAAGGTATTGCTATAACTGTCCTTAAATGTTTACAACTATACCAAAGTTTATTGTTTTTTTGTATTGGTACTCTTTTTTTTTTTTTCCACATATATATATATATATATATATAATATACGAATGAATAATTTAACTAATAAGATATATATTACTTATTGTGCATTAACATATTATGATTTTTTTCTCTTTATAGTGACAAGTATGATGATGATTTGAACGATAGAGATGATACTAAAAGGTAGGTATTGCGACTGTTACATGGTTAATTTATGTTCATTATTCATGGACATGAATATATATATATACAATACTATATTCCCAATAATCATTAGGAAATCAAGAAACTTAAGCGAAAAGAAACGCAGGGATCAATTTAATAGTTTGATTAATGAATTGAATCTCATGTTGTCGACAACCAATAGAAAAATGGATAAGTCTACTGTCCTGAGAACAGCAATAAATTATTTGAAAAAACAAAAAGGTTTGTTAAATTTATTTATTGGAATTTTTTTTTTTTTATAACTGTAAATAATTTTTAGATACAGTACTTAGATCAAGAGTACATGAAATAGATAATGATTGGAAACCATCATTTCTATTAAATGAAGAATTTATCCATATAATATTAGAAGTAAATATTATAGGCTCCACCTTTATGAATTTACTAACAAATTTGATAATAAAATTATTTTTTAGGATTTAGATGGCTTTATTATAGTGTTTACATCATTAGGAAAGATCCTCCATGCTTCAGAAACTGTCACATCTCTTCTTGGTTATCTTCCGGTACCAATTTAAATATTTTTATAAAAATATTTGTTACTTAAATAATGTCTTTTGACCCTTTTTTTAGAAAAATTTAACAAATTTATCAATATTTAAATTAATTAATGAAGCAGATCATTCAGTATTACATGATCAAATTGTAAAATCCAAGCATACTCAAAATTATGAGAATGGTAATTATTTGTAAAATTTAAAATATTAATTTCTAGTTGTAGAAATGACTTATAATTATAAATCGTATATTTTGTTCAAGATCAAATTATATTTTCTTGTCATTGTAAAAGACACAATCCATTTAAAGATGTAGATGAAATAAATGAAAAACACCAATTTGAATTGGTACAGTTTTTTGGATATTTTCGACCCATCAGTGAAATATTTCGTGGAGATAATAGTGGATTGTTGTCTCCATATAGTAGTGAAGATGATGATCAAAAGTAAAATTTTAAGTTTTAAAAATATATTTATTTTGTCCAAAATTATATGTGTTTTAATTTATTTTGAATTTATAGTTTAGTATTTGTTGGAATTGGCCGAATTATGACTCCACAATTATTAAAAGAGCTTCCAGTTATGGAGGATGTAAAAAGTGAATTTACCTCCAGACATAGTTTAGAATGGAAATTTTTATTTCTTGATCATAGGTAAAAATATTTGTAATAAATAAATAAATAACTAATTAAATTTAATGATTGTACTATTAATTTACACTATTACTAAAGTATTAAGCTTAAAATTAACCTATTTATATGTATTTCAGAGGGCCATCAATAATTGGTTATATGCCATTCGAAGTTCTTGGAACATCTGGCTTTGAATACTATCATATTGATGATCTAGAAGATGTTATTTTATCACACGAAGCTCGTAAATTAGCAAAAATAATTAATTTAAATAATTCAATTTTTTTGTCAATAACATAAATTATTATATTTTTAGTTATGCTTAAAGGAGAAGGAACATCTTGTTATTATCGGTTTTTAACCAAAGGTCAACAGTGGATATGGTTACAATCAAGATATTACATTAGTTACCACCAATGGAATTCAAAACCTGAATTTATTGTTTGCCATCATCAGGTTGTCAATTATTTGAATGTTATTAAAAGAGAAGGTGAGACTGATGAGGGAAGAAAAAATAAGAGATTATGGCATACTCCAGTGAATGAAAGTCAACAGCGATCAACTAAAAGTGGTTATGATTCATATCAAAAGAGGCACTATGAACAAGAAAATGTCAGCTCGCCAAAAATGGTTCGTAAAATTATATAGCCTTACATTATTTGACTAAAAACATTGTAACATGTTTGCTGTGATTAGTAATTATTAATATCGTGAGAATAATTTAAAAACTTTGTGTTGTTAAATAATTTTATTTGGATTTATATTATAAAATTTAGTAAAATGTATACTCAAATATTGGTTCTATTAAATTAAATTATTATTATATTTTATAATTTGATTGCAAATTTGTCAGAATCATTAAATCTACCAAAATTAAATAAGCCACAAATGTTTTGATTTTTTAAATTTATTATATTATTATATATTGAAAGTATTTAATTTAACAATTATATCGTTCAAAAATATAATATTATACTTAAATATATTTATAGAAAATTAGATCAGTTGAAAGTATCTCAAATTCTAACTGTGAAAACAAGTCTTTGACATTAGTGGACACAAAAGAAGATATGTCTGAAACTGTCAACAGCTATCTACAGAATGCACAACCTTCAATAAAATTACCGCCAATCTCAGTATCTCCAGTAAGTTATTATGACTAATTTTACTGTAGTATATTTTATTAGTAAATTTATTAAAAACCTCAAATATTATCTCAATATCATTAAAAAATATTAAGCTTTTTTGATATAATAAAAAAAAAAAAATATATAAATCCTATAGGGGCTTATATGTATACAATTGTTTTTATAGTGAAACTATGCTAAATAAGCTATATTGCTGACAAATAGATAAGATTTAAATTGTTAAAATATAGAGAAGATGTTTTTAAAAGATTTTAATCAAAATTTTATTTGAACAATAGAAATTTTAAAACTAATATTTATAAAGGTCTTTTTTTTTTTTAGATATTTTTAGGCCTCATAACAAAATTGTTTTTTGTAAAAAGTTATTGAAAAGATAAATATTTAACTTAAAATAATTTTCATTTATTATCAGAATAAATGTTTTTTATTCACAGGAAAACCTTATTCAAGGTGAATTAGAGCGAAAACAAGAACAATTACAGAAAACTATAGTTAAACAACAGGAAGAACTGCGAAAAATATCTGAACAATTATTAATGGCCCGGTGTGGAATTTTGCCATCATTTATGGATGTATATAATTTTAGTTATTAATAATTTTAATTTTAAATTATACATCTTTAAATAAGACTAATTATAATTTTTAGGATTCTCTACAAATATCTACTCATACTTCCCGACAAACAACTCCTGAGACATCTGCTAATCAAATAATTTGTTCCGCCGCTAGTGGAGAAATTTTTGAATCATCCCCATTGATTTCTTCTGATGTCTTACTGTCACATGAAGGAGTAAAAGTATTAATTTCTAGTTTTAATTTTTTTTTTTTTTTTTATGACTTGTATCCATTTTTTCTGTTAAAGAATGAACAAGATATGCAACATTCCTATTCATCAAATATTATACAGAACATGGTTGATGAGGGTGGAGGACAATTGGATTACAGCTATAATAATCAGTCGAATGACGTATTATTTGACCAAAGTTCTTCTTAAAAATAACGAGTTGTAGCCTAAATCTCAAAGGTATTTTCATCTTCCATGTATATTCCTTTAATGGTTGGTGTTAAACATTCTTTCAGACGCTCAATAACTTTTTAGTGTGATAAAAATGGTGAAGTAAGTGATCATTTTACTTCAAAACAACTGAATATATATTTTATATTAAAAACTTTTGATTACAATTATAAATATATACAGGTTCATGTTCTGTCAATATTTAGTATTTATTATTTATTCAAGTATAACTTAATTAGGATTTTTAAGTTTTAACTGTTCATATTTTTAAAAGCAATGTAAGATCTTCCAAATTTAGTGTTGTAGAAATAGTGAGTATTACCTAAGAATCAATTATAGTCTTTATCATTTTTTATAATATAAAATTAAAAATATTCTATTTGACTAAAATTGAAATTTAGGTAAAAAATTAACTAACCTATGAAACAAAATTAGAAATAAATTTAACTTGAATACAAATATCTAGAATATGAATAGCTTCAATTGAAATCTTTTAATTTTTTTTTTTTTTTTTTTATGGTTAATTTGTTAAGAATTACCATTAACAAATTTGATATAATTGAATTAAAATGGAAATAAAGTGTATATTTTTAATTTTTTATTAAATATAAAACATATTTTAACAATAGTCATAAGACTTTTTTATTAATTTGCTGCAGTTTTGGCCTTTGGATTTGGGTGATTTTTGTTTTGATCTGCAGTTTAACAATTGTTTGGTTTATCATTTATTGGGTATACTTGTTGGGCAAGAGCCAGTGGTGGTTTTTTCTCATAGGGTTGTTGTCCCACTTGGAACACAAATACTGTCGGTGACTGTATTTGCAAATAACTACATTAGACACAGCTGCCTTATCCCCTTGACCAAAATGCTCTAAGGAATAATTTATTATAAAGTGATCACTTACGTTATATAATATATATAAAAGTAACCATTTAAACTATTATTTATTTATTTTCTTTTTATTAAAATAATTTAGAAGACTTTAAACTCTGAACTATTAAGTTGTAAGAATCACTAATTTGTGGTCTGTTACTGCATAATATATCTATATAAATTACCTTTTTTCAGTAATTTTGTTTGTATATAAATAAATTTAAATTTTTTTTTTATAGACTATAAGCCTTTAATTGCACAAAATATTCCTCTTTAAAGGTCTTGTCTTGGTTCCTTTGTTTTTGTACCTGTGTTCGTTCTGATAAATCAATGCATGAAACTTAACTAACTTTTTTATAAGTTTACATAAAAAAATATCTGTCAATTAAACTGTGTTGGTCATAAATTTATATTATTTTAAAATACAATTTTAATAATTAACATTGGGTGCTATTGAAAAACTTATAACTTTTTTTTCATGTATTTAAGAATGATTCCTTTTTTTTCTATTATTTTTGTTTTGATTTTACGTATTGAAAATAATATTCAATATTGTCTTAGTTGATACTTTATTTACATGTAATAACTCATAAGACTTATTAGTGATGATACAATAATGTACTATTTATACTTTAAATTACATTTAGTTAAAATTTTATCTATTAAAATGTAGAATAATACAAGAAATGTTTTGTTGTAGTTTAATAGTAAAGTATATATGATATGAATAATACATCAAGAATATCTGACATTTTTCAATGGAAATTTATTATATTTTCAAGAGACCTATGCATTAATATATAAATTTGTGTGCGTTTAAATTGGTAATTTAATTGTATGTTTTACGTATTTATGTATACAATATAAATTGCTGAGATTATCTCTTACATTTGGAAAGTAGATTTATTTTAGGTATACAATTTGTATGTGTAAGTGTTAATAAAACCAATTATTCATTTTAATATTATTTTCCAATTATTATTATTAATATTTTTTTATCTATGACCATTGAATGCAATTGTATTTCTTAAAGTAATACATTTTAAATACCATAAAATAATGTTATAATTTTTCAAAGGTTAATGTAACAATATCCAATTTGTTTTATTAAATGTCAACACAATAGTTCATATATTTGACAATATATTTACAAATATTTAGGAGATTTAGGAATAATTTAAAAAAAATAGTCTTAAACTAAGTGATACTAAAATCAAATGCATATGCATTTGCTGTATTATTATGTAGCTTTTTTTAATCAAATGGAACTAGTACCTGTTCCTTTCTGTACAAATCCCATTTATAAATGTAGTTTGTATAAATAAGATTTTTGCTAGGACCAACAAATTAGTCATAATTAAGTTGTTAATCATGTTAAGTGGTGTTATATTAGGTTATTTTTATTGTATATAATTATTAACCATAATATAAAATTGAGTTTTACAATGTGTCAATTTTTTTATTTTAATGATAATCTATGTATTTTAGCCTTTAAATTATTTTTATATTCCGTTTTCCTTTATAACTATAATTTAATTCATAGTTTCTTTTTTGAACTTTAATTATTGGACCAACTGATTCATTGTATTTATATTAATATATTATAATTATATTTATTACAAATGAATATTCATGTGTTGTGTTTATACTATGGAACAAATTTGGAAACAAAAAATATATACTCAGTTTATTATAAAGAAATTAAATAAATGTGTTTTTTAATGTAACAAAATTTTAGTACACGATTTAATAACATATAATATTTCTTCTATTCTCTTCAGTTAAATATAATTAAAAAATATGAAATAAATCTATCACATCCAAACACACCCTTGGGAAACATTAAATAAACAAATGTTAAATAATGTCAGTCAACCACTCCCCATTTTTTTTTTTTATTCAAATTTTTATTAAAAATATTACTGATTCACTCTGTATGTGATTTCACTGTTTGATTAAGTAAATCATTGGTCGTATTTTCTGTTTCATTAACAACATTTGATTTGTCCTTGAGCACTTTACCACCAGTGAAGCCTATATAACAAAAAAAAAAAAATAAAAATTTGTACATAAATACAGTAAAATTATTATAAAGAAAAAAAATCATTTAATTTTTTGATATCAAACTTAAAATTCTTTATGATTGTTATGGACATACATAAATGTAACCCTAATAGACTACACATATACACATAATCGTAAAAGGAGGTATAGATAGTCATGCATTTCCAAAATCGCTTGATAAATTGGAATGCAACATTATTTCATGTAAAAATATTAATCGTTAATTAATCAACAATTTTGGTTAATTGTTTCTACTTTTATTTTTTGCAGCAAATTATTCATTCAAATCTGTTTCAATTTTGATATAATACAATACAAATCTGAAACTATTTTATACTACAATTTTACAAGACCTATGATAAATTACTAAGATATTACCTAAAACAAAACAAGTAACAGTAGCAAATACTCCTACTTTAGCACCAGCTAAACATCCTAATGGTCCTCCAACACAAGACCCAACTACAGCACCAATGAGTGGATAAGACATTTTTTTCAACTTGGCTGCTTTATGTAAAGATTGTTCAGCTTGAATAACATTTTCTTGAGTTGCCTCAACATGAGTTTCAATTTTACCAACATCTTCTTTTTGTTCCTACAGTTCACAAAAGTATAGAAGATTAATCAAAAAATTAAAAACATACTCTGTGGTAATTAAACGAATAATGAGCGTATACTGAATCAATATCAATAACCCATTATTAATCGGAATTCATAAAATATAAATATATAAGTTACTAATTTGCAATTTACATCATTATTATTGGTCACGATAATAATATAATTTATTACTCCGTATCAACACGCTTATAAAAATGGAAAATACTAATAGGCTGTTGACAACAACAATGATAATAATATACGATTTCTCAATAAGTCATAATATTTTCACTATTTGAAAAAAAAAATAAAATAGTAATAATAATTTCTAATAGAAATCAAAAAAAAAAAAATCTGTATGACTACCTATGAATGGCCCACAAACCACCAGTTGAGAAACATTGGTTAGGGTGAAAATTGTTTGATTGAAGAGGAATGGAATAATTATACAAAAATCAGTTATTTGAAATAACATAATTATAAGTTTTAAGATAAAATATTTGTAACATACATACATTTACTAATTTACTGAGGTCACGAAATAAATCTTGAATGTCTTGCATATCCCTTTCAACGTTTTTAACATCAGATTCAATTGCTAACATTCTTTCTTTTTTTTGTTTTTCCTCCTCAAGAGATATTAATAACATGTGTTTTTGATTTTCTACTTCTAACTGTTCACTATTTTCTATATAGTTCTCTTCTGGTACAGTCATAGAAGTTTGTTCATCTAAATCTTCATCTATTAAAATCAATAAATAGAAAGTTAAAGAAACTATAATTATAACAAAAGTAAATATAAAAATTACTTTTAAACATATCAATTGCTTCCAAAATTAATTGTTTACTTGGACTCATCAAGTTATCAAAAGTTTTTAGATCGACATCAGCCACTTGGTTTCTTAATGTATCCATTTCTCTAAGTAAAGCTTGTGACCGTTTGATGGATTGAGAAGCTTTCATTTGTAACTGACGCATGCTACTACGGTCCTCTAACCGCCTTTGCTATATCATACAACATTTTTAAAATGTATTTAAACAGATTCGAGTAATCAACTACTAACCTTGGCAAGATTTGATTTCAATGTTTTTAAAGTTTCTACATGGTGAGGAATTGCACATTCAATAAAATTTTTGATTGGCAAATCCAAATAACGAATTCTTTGTTTTGTCGTCCACAAGCTCGAGCTTTCAGCCATGACTTTTCACGATAATCGACACTTGCAATGAAGTTCACTATTCATCAATACCTATGTTTGAAATGACTTAGCGTTTAAATCATAATATACAACTTCTAAAATAATCCGATGGATTAACAGAATTATCGATCGTTAACAACGAAGCCAATGATGTTTTTGTTGCAATACTCAAAACAAAAATATCACGATATCAAAAAAAAAAAAAAACAAACCAGTATTCGACTTGGCTACTGTTGCCGTAATACTGCGACATTGCATAATGACTCACTATTAGGGAGTATCTGTGTAATTGTGTATATGATAACAACAACAATAATAATGTGTTAGAAACCCGTTATCAAATATTTATTATCACTTATTTAGTTGACAAACATCAATGATATTAAATTTTTTTGTTTGAAAACGAACAAAGAATATTTATTATTGTTGGTCCATTTTCAAATATAATAAATGATAATATAAATAAAATAATATAATGAATAAAGAATATTATTTTAATTTAGATCCGCGTGGGAACTCGACAATATCACTGATTACTAACATTAAACGCTTTATGTTTAGGCTTATGATTTAATAGAGGATACAACCACAGAATAGATGAAATACAACTTTTTTGAAATGTGTTACAACTTTATCGCAAAATAGGTTAAATTTAAATTGCGTCCATCCACATTACACTGTAAAGTTAAATTCATAATTTGTTATTTTTTTTAACCCTTCAATTCATGACTTTTTTTTTTCTCAACAGTATGTAGCAAATATGCTACATTATGCATTGAAGGGTTAATACGTACATTTAGGGTTCCCAGTTTCTAAAATCACTGAACCGAAACAATACATTGAATGACCCTTTTTTTTTTATATATGGAAATAAAAATAAATATATAATTTTGTAATTTAAATATTTATTAGTTAATACGAAAATACATTATTATTATATACAACCAATTAGATAACCATAAAATAATGATATAATGTACAATATTATTCTATGTTTTATTATTAAATAATACAATATTAAATGTTATTTTCTCACAGCTTCTACTAAAACTGAATGATCAGCAAGCCTACGGTTATTCAATATTGTCAATTAATTTATAATAAAAAAAAAACCAATTGTTACTGAGACATTTAGGCTGCTTTGTTAAAAGGCTGATCCTGATTAGAAATTTGGTTGTATGTTAGGTTTTCTAATTAATATTGCCATTATAAAAATTGCACTATTATTAAAAATAAAGTCGTAATAAAAATCACTGTAGTTTATTTGATGTTTAGTAGTCCTAAGGTGTCTCCTCCTTCCGAAAAAAAAAAAAACTTTTGTAGAATTATAATTAGAAGTCAATAAGAAAGATAAATGTAAATTTCAGATGCAATACGCATAATTGTGTTCCTGGATGGAGAGACAATGAAGCAAAAGGTTCAGGGGCGTAATTTCAACTTTTAAAAGGGTGGGGCATTTGATTAAATTTGCCAACTTCATAATATATAAAAATTTACTATTTACCGATTTTAGCATTTGATCATCGGACAAAGAATTGCCGAATTTTTACAATTTCTTAAAGTGGGGTATTTGCTATAGTCTGCCCCCCCCCCCAAACGACGCCCCTGAAAAGGTTAAAATTCAAAATTCAAAAATAAATAATAATTAATAAATTAACATTTTATTTTCAGCTAAACATACAAAAATATAAATTAATATGTGTATCCTTCATTTTTTTTTTAAGTTGCCTCATAAGAATAAATATCTAGCTATTCATATAAAGTACAAAAAAAGGATGCTAACCAGCATTGCGTTCATCTAGTGAGGTTACAAAATATAAAATCATCATAAGTTTATAAATTTATTATGTAAGACTACCAATTTGAAATAAATAACACGAATTCAACCTCCATATTCTATTGAAATTATGTACAGTTGTAGTCAGTGGCGAGCCGAAGGGCTCAATTTAAACGCAGCTGCGTCAATTTTTTAAATAGGGTGTTATCAGGGCTGGCTCAAGGTACAGGCGAGCTAGACACCTGCCTAGAGCGGCACTTTAGTAGGGGTGGCCTTTTCAAAATTGACTCGAACATTTTTTTAGTTCTATTGGTGTTTTATAAGAAAAATATTTAAATGAATTTGTTGAATGGAATCGGTTTAAAAGTAGATACAGACACAACGTTCAAATTAAATTAATAAACAATTTAATATCGTGAAATTATAATAATAATAATAATAAATAATAAGATTATATAAAACGCACTTCTTACAACGGCAACAAGTTGCATGTCTCGACAGACTGCCTCCGTATATCTGTGCTACAATACCCGTATACATGCCACACCGACATACAGAATGTGCCATCTCAACACTAATCGTTGGCAATAATAATATATACATATATACTTAAAACTACAGAATGAATATAAACTAATATATACTAAATATACTGGGTGTATTGTTTAATTTCAACAGAATTCATTCGCGAAAACCACTTACCTATATAATAAAATAATATTGTCTAAAGTTATTATATTACTTTATATTACGACCTACGCTGGACGTTTTTAATTATTCAAAAAATATAAATAACTACATATCCGATAGTTGTAGTAGTGATGGGTTTTGAGTAATAGTAATTAAAATCATTTTTAAGTTTTTTTACACATACATTCATCCATAAAATAAAATAATTAAATTTTTTTTTAAGTATATATGTCACATAAAAATAGGGGGAAGGGCTAAGTTAAAATAATAGCTCAATTTTATTTTTAGAGGCGGCAATATTTGATTTTTTCTAGTGTACTATTTTTGTTTGGGCCGGCCCTGCACGTGACCAATAAACTTATAATGATCATCATAATTATGTTATGAGATTATTAGGTTACGCTGTAGGTAATATATAAGATAGACGTAATATAGAGACCAAAATGTGTTCTTTGATCGTCATCTATCAAAGAATAATTTTAATTTGTGTTTTTCGTCAGTAGACATTATTCAGAAACATTCTGTAGATAATAATAAGACAAAGATCTTATATATTGGTTGTGTGATGCGATCACTTTAGTGCAATTGCATCAATCGAGTTTCACCAGAGTAAAATCTATTATCTTTAATCTCTTTAGAGCTTTTCCATTACGAAAAATATACAATTTAATATAATAATATTAATATGCTGTTGGCTACATATTTAATACATTATGCAATTAAATATTTACTTTTTTGTCATAGTTATGGTTTGTTTATTTTTTTATTTTATTCCCTGCATATTGTTATTGTGATTACTCGCATCATTAACTTCTAAAGTTATCTATATTTGTATTAATTATGTATAAATATTATTCAGCATATAAATATTTTCTCATTTAAAAGTAAGTAGATTATTATTTTAGTTAAATTGTCATTTCAGACGCAAAAGTATTATTTCCCATCTCTATAACATTGAATCAGATGTTCTTCAACAAAATAATCTTTCACTGGATTTATATATTATTTTCACCGTGGATATCCCTAAAACTAATAGCACTACTTTAACTACATTTTCCGACGACACAGCTATCTTGTCAACTAATAATGACATAAATTTAGCAGTATATTATCTTGAAGATCATTTTAAGCTCATTATATCCGGTCCGAAAACTGTATAATTATAATTAACGAAAACAAATCCCCCCCCCATGTCGCATTCGCACTTTGTTCTGATAATTGTCCAGCAATAAAACAAAAAAAATAATTCATACCAGTCTACAGGGGCGTACTGGGACCCAATCAGCCCACTGATTTGCAAAAAAAATTGGCCTCTAGCGAATAGCATAAGCACCCCTAGTGTACAAAAACATTTTACATCTTCATTATTTTTAGTTTTTAAATCATCAATTAAATAAAATATTTTTGGATATACTGTGATTTAAGTTTGTTTCTTCTTAAAATGTAATATATATATATTTACTGTAAAATTTAAATTTTTATTTTTATCGATGTACCAAAAAATATTTTATAGTAAGAATTTTTATTTTAAATTATTAAATATAATTTAAATTGATTATTTTTATTTTTAAATCTTTGTTTAATAATATGAATATAAAGATTGTTTATTTAAATTAAATAAAATACTTACAAACAAATTATCAAATAATATTTAACTTTATGTAATTATTATAAATTACCTAGTAAACAAATTCAAAAAGTAACTATTTATTAATGAATAATGCTAAAATTTAATAATTATAACATAAGCATTATATTAATTCAAATTATTTAAGTTTATCCAAAAGTAATTAGATCTTAAGTATTGTTATACAAACATCTCAAGATGAAAATCAGTTTTTAAAACCGTAATTTGATCAAAAAGGAGTTAGTAAGATGCTTTTTTTGTCCCCTGAACAATTTAAAAAAGTAGAGTTTTCTCATTATTGTACCAAACCCTTCAATTCGTATGATGCACTCACACTGCTGATAGCACAATATATATATATAGAAAGAGAGTGACTAGCCTATTACATAGTACGCATGGAATCAAACTTGCTTAAAATTGAATCTAATATAATTTTACTTATAAGAGTACTTATATCTGTCTTCACAAATATTTTTAATATAATTATAATACATTTTTAACACGTTAAATTTTATACCGGCCCGATGGATATACATTTTTTAATATGATACCGACACACAGTGCAAATATACAGTGGTATAATGGCCAGTCCGCCCAGTTCACCCTTAGCAGTCCAAAATGAGACCAAATACTTGGGCATAATCTTAGATAAGCGTTTCACTTAGAAATCTCACCTCTAATTCAAGAGGAATCTTGCTAAAAGTTGACTCCATCTCTCCCGTTCCCGTCTTAAGTCATAATTAAATGATCACCTAATTTATCTATGACATATGTCATAGTAGATTTTATAGCTGGGGGCCCACCAAAAGTTACTAGGGCCCGGTTGTGGGCCAGAATTATAAAGAATAGAAATTATTAAAGCAATATAGCAATACTAGTACCTAACTGCTAATAAACACTATAGCCTATTTATATAATAGGTAGTTAATAGATTATGATTCTACTAATTCTTTAGATTATAGACTATAGTCTATAGACTCTAATACCAAGTATAGTATAATAAAATTATTATACTAACGTAGAAACTCAACATTTGACAGCTTAACTGTTGAACATGGTCAATGGTTATGAAAGTATGACAAAATAAACTGTTTATGTTATATTGTTATAAC